GTGCACTGGGGGAAGCTCCATCTGCAAAACTAAGTAGAAGTAGCAAGAAAAGCTAAGGCCAAGGATTCAGATCCGTCATTACTGGATGAGACCCTGTGTGGAGACCCCCCGGCAGCGGCCAGCCCAGATGGCGACTGCCTGCTGCTTGGCGGCCTTCCTCTGGGCTGGGAGCCGCTCACGGACAGGGACCCCGCCTCGCCCACGGCTGCATCCCCGGCCTGAATCACAGCCCCTGGCACAGAACCAGGGGCTGCATTTATATGTGTTAAAGAAATGAATGTCCTCTATTATATATATATTTGATCCATCGATTTATATGTTTAATAGATAAAACACAGATACGGCACGAAATTCAAAAGGCTCCGAGGGATACACAGTGATTAAATTTCCCTTTCTTCCACCGTTCTGCTCCAGCACTTGCAAGGCAATCCCTGACGCTGTTTCCACTGTTGACAATGTGACTAGAGCATATTCTGAATTGCAAAGGCTCCGGCAACCAACCGGACTACCCAGTGACTTGGGCGTCAGGTCATCACCACGAGATGAAGCTACATGTGATGTCAAGGTGAAAGTCATCTGGCTGAAGACAAGGTCCCAGGATTCCGTGCCGGGCAGAGGCCCATGCCAGGGAGCTGCGGGCTCGCAGAGGAATGCCGCTAGGATGACAGCCGTGCCCCTGGAGTCACTTGTGGCACGACGAGAAGCCTGTGGGCAGGGGCCGTCCAGCCTGTCAGCCTCAGGCTCCTCACACCTGCTGCGGACACAGGGGAATTTCAAGCTGGGGACAGGTTCTGTTGCTACATGATGGGAGGAAAGCAGACGTGCCAACCACGTTCAACCCTGGCCTCTGAGAAACTTTTAGTGGTTTGTCGGGGGTGGAGGGGAGTTCACCTTAAGAGAACTCAGCTGTGAGCTGGGTGGCACTACAGATGGGCTCTTTGGTGGAAGCGGCGGACAGGAACTAAGCTGGCCAGAAGGAGGGGGTCCCAGGAAGCCAAAGCCCTGGGGTGGTAAAGAATCCGGGCCGATCCCAAGCCTGGGCAGTGTCCCAGGGGGTATACCGTGTATGACAGGAACATCTGGACTCATTGCCTTATCTAAGCCAGATGGCGAGGGCTTTTTGTTTTTTTTTTTTGAAGACTGAGTAACCATTGCCCTGTATAGTCACCAAACCAAAGACTAAAAAAAGATCCAAGCCACGCAGGCTCATCTGTTCTCCAAGGCTCCTGCCTAATGCGGCGATGCACCGGCAGGCAGGCTACAGGGTGAGCTGGGTGCTTATCTGATTTCAGCCAATCTGTTACTGTATTTCATTCCCTGTCCTCGTGCCCGGAGGCTGTTGCAATGTGTGTAAATTTAGAAAAAGAAAGATAAATAACATGGAAAAGTTCGTTTTAACAAAAGGAGTTGTCTTTCTTCCCTTCTTTCTTTTTACTTCACTAAAGAGAAGACAAAATGATCTTGTTACTGACTTAGCCCCTACCAGGGTGGATCTGGTATTCTGGGCAGGGACTCAATAACGCATAACCGCAGCCTCGGATTAACCAGCTTCTTCTGAAACTGGAAAACCCGTCAGGCTTCCATCCTAAGTGTTTCTCAGCAGCTGAGGGAATGAGATGGCAATGCCTGGTACAAGATCTGTAAGCAACTGGGGTCTCTTCTGAACGAGTAAAAGACTCTACGTGACGACAGCGTTTACTTCCCGTGAAGCCTGCACCAGCTCACCCAACGCACACTGTGCCGGAAGATGCCAGCTCACCAGGAGCTATGCATTGATACTTTACATAAAATGAGACCTGTTTTACAAGGAAATTAATATCACAGATGGGAGATTGGGGTTATGGTGGAAATTACACTGAAAGAGAAACTGCTTGAGAAACGCTTGCCTTCTCTCATACGTGAACTCGCCCCAGTGGGTTTATGGACCCTTGGTAGATGACCACCAATGAATTCCACCACCTAATTGTTTAGCCCAATTCGCATTTTGCAGAGATGGAAACCAAAGTTAAGTGATGGGCCCAAGGTCACATGGCTGCCAGCGACGGGGGGTGGGGACAAGACCAGGTCCCACAGCTCTTCACAGTGCTGGTACTGCCAGCACTACCCACTGCTGGAAGTCAACCAGACTCAAGGGCTGTACCTCTGACAGCATCTCATACTGGCCTCTTCTTCCAAGAGCGATGGTCAGTAAATCATAGACCACAGATGCACTCTGTAAACTGATGAGGCGGTCGCTCTTGTGCTCAGGTATCCTGCTCAGCACAGCGTCCCGGTTGGCCTGGAAACAACACAGAAGAGAGAAGAGAGAAGCAGACGGTGAGCTAGCCCGTGCACACAGCTGTCACCGTGCGCAGAGAAGCCATCCAGGCTCTCCTGCCCCTGGGAGCTTGCCGCGGGTCTGGAGACAAGGACACAAATGAGACAGGGGTCATTTATTCAAAATCCCCAGAGCACCACAGCACATGGTAACATGGTATTATCCAAACACTGAAGGCCTGGCGGGCACTTGTCTCTGTCAGCAGGCGTCTGGAGGAAGCTTTAGGAGTCGATGAAAAGCAGGGTGGTTCCTCCTGGGCTCGGGTTCACAGACAGCCATGCTGCAGACACAGCTGCGCTCTGGGGCAGCAGAATCAACCACCAAGTGAAGCCCTGCTGCGCCTCACTTGTAGATCCTGCTTCTGCTGTACATTACAGAGCGGGAGAAAATTCCCAGCCCCACACTTCCCATCACCAACGGTGTCATCACGTTCCATCAGTCCAACAGAGATATAGCGTACTTTTCCTCTCTCACCCAACTCACGTTCAAATCCCTATATGACATCTTCACTGGAACAGACTACAGAAACTAATTCAACTTTGTTTAGGGAAGCACAAAACAGATGTACAAGAGACAGCAAGAAGCGAACGGATTTTTGTTTTAAAAGACGTTAGCACAGAGGACCCAGGAGAACACCAGGGCATGCCTATTTCACTTCCCCACTGCTTAGCACAGAAACACAGCAGGTGCGTTCAAGCTTATTTATCTCATCTATCTAGAAATCAACCGCTCTTCACAGTGACTTATTTTCATTACTTTTGAAATTTCTCCCCCAATTCCTCCAGACATATCACAGGTACTGGAGACTCTCAACATAGCTCATTTTCCTTTTCGCCCTAATAGGGAGTTCAGTATCAATAAAGTTAGATTTTTCCTGTCTTCTTTTGCTTGCTAAGGAACAGAAGTCCATCCCTAGGAGCACAGAAAGGGCCCCTCCGTTCTCCCCACGGAAGTGGCACGTGCAGGACGAGGGTCACCGGTCCAGGCGGGCTGACGTCTACCTTCCTGCCTGACACTTGGAAAGGCCACGCACACAATCTCCTGCTCACTAACGAGGTGAATGCTTTCTTTCGTGTGAGTCCAAGGCACTGACTTGTAGCCTCCTGTCAGTACTTACTTGTTTTAAAACTCCTTACTCTTAAATGTCAAAGACAAATAAGAATATATAAGACAGGCCACTTCCTACAAAGTGAGTCATCTCTTATGGAAACAAGCCTGCTTTTGAAGATTTCATTCTAAGTTTTTCTTGTTAGGAGTGCCTTTCGACCCAAAAAAAGAAGCTCTGGGGAAAATACGGCCTGCTGTAAGTGGTCTCATTTTATATATTTCCTCTAAATGTTCCATATTGAGATCAATGCCTGCGAGAGAAGGGAGTAAGACAAAACACCATTTAAGAGAGATTTTCAGGTTATGCCCAAAAGCGTCTTTTTTTTTTCTTTTTAAAAGAAAAAGTCTCTCAGTGCTTTTTGATTAAAAAGGTACAATATAGAACCTCAAACAGGTCCACAAATAATAAATGTCCCAGAACATTGTCTCAGTGGTAGTTGTACTAATATGGCTCTGATAACCCCTTTCTCCTGGGGAAACTAATTTGACTTGAGGTAAGAATGCAGTCCAATTCCAAATGAGTTCTTGTAGGTGGAGGGACTATGGACAAATTTATGCTTCTAAGTTAAAATTAGGACCAGTAAAGAATACAATTTTCTCAGACACCAAAAAAGCCCGGCAATTCTCATTTTGGTTCTGAAATTGAGCACATCTATTTTCAGTCTAAAAACTGAAAAAAATCAAGGAGTCAAGGGACGTGAAAAAAGACTTCCAAAGGCAACTTAATTTAGACTTCTACCTACGTAACTATGGAACGATTTACAGGGAGAACATAATCATTTTGGTTGGCAACCTAGCCCTTCATATTTACTGTCATTGGCTTTCACCATCCTCTGAAGAGACTTCCTGGAAATTAAATACGACAGAGTCAGATTTGACTGTCTCCAGGGGATCCGAACTTTGAGTATTACTAGTTTCTACCACTTCAAGGAGGGAGCAGGAGAGTTGGGGACATCACTCCCAAGACAACAACACTTAGAGCAAGCATTCTAGAGATGTGGCCATGTTTCCCAAATTCCAATCTGGAACACATGATCTGACAATAGAACTCAATGCTTTCAATCAGAATTGTCCAAGAAATCGAAAGCGTATGCTCACCACGCTTTCAGAATTTTTACACCGTTACTAACCAAGTCTGCCCAAAGGAAGCTAAGTGCCGGGTTGTGAAGAGTCCAGCGATGAGGCCTGTGTGGGCAGCCCCCCTCCCCCCCCACAGAACTGATGACGGTGAGACCTGCCCATCTGAACACCAGTTACTGGAGGCCACTGGACGCCAGCCTGTGCACATATGTGCCTCCATATCTGTGCCAAGGTAGAGTAGAAGATGTAAATGACACCGTCCTAAGTCACCAGCTGACAGTCAAGGAAAGATAAGCCACAGGGGCAACCTGTTTCCTTCAGAGGAAGTAGGGCCAATGATGTCAAAGAGCTTCCAAATAAAAAGAAGCGGTGACTCAAGCAGTCTCGCTCTTATAAACATCTCGGGGCCATTTCACAGAACAAGAGAACCCAGAGCTTTAATTTAAGGCAAGAAAGCTACGCTGCCTGCCTAATCCCAGCCTCTTTTGCCCCTCTTTCACTCAGCGCACAGGCATTCCTCTTGTGCTCCGTTTCTAAGTCTTTCTCCCTGAGTGTATTTCACGCCTCCATGTAAACTGTCTGCTTGGGGAAGAAGGGAACAGCTTCTCTTGCTTTCGTTACGGGGCCTTTTCCTCTTTTCTCCTCCTGCCTGCCTGGTGGGGTGGGAGTTATGGAAGAAGGCAGGATGCTCTGCTACAAGGAGCAGCAGACCACTGCATGATGCCTCCATTCTGCCTGCTCTGGGCCTCCGGTCCCTCGTCTAAATAACTAGGTGGATGTGAGGACCTCTAGGTCCCTCCAAGTTCCAGGGGCTTGCTGTTCTGCTCAGGTGCTCAGCAGACACCATTTACTTGCCAAGGTGTTAACTACTATAACACAGATTACCCCAGAATGTTTCAAGCCGGGCTGTCATGTCTAGCGATATGCAGAGTAGAAACCCAGTAAAGGATGAGCGATGAAATCGTAGACCTATATTTGATATCCTGGCCAAACACTAAGAAAACATTTCAAAGGAATTTGATGGTCTGGCAAAAACTCCCTCACAACAGCAGAGCCAGGTAACAGGAGTGGGCTCTCTGGGCCTGGGCTCTGCAGTGCCTGGGAAACAGGTGGGGGCTTGGGGAGAGGACCTGGGCAGGAGGACGAGGCAGTTTCATCAGGCTGCTGCTATGGAAACCAGAGGTTCAAGTATACAAGTGTTTCACCCCCAAATTCTCCCTCCCACCAAGGCAAATGGAGAAGGCTCATAAAGGTTACCTTTTGGGGGCTTCTTTCCCCTTTCAAGGTTCCTCTGGTGGTCATTTTAGCTATAGTTACCCATATACAACTGTGTTAGTGTTCAATCAGTACTTGGTGGATAAATGAATGAACTAAGGGAAGAGAAGCTCCATGCTCCAGGCTGACCCAGGGACATATCTGGCCAGTCCAAGAATTAGAAACGTCCCTTTTTTTTTAAACCACTATACTTTTTTCCCACCAGGTATTCCCTTCGGAAAGTACTCGTCTCCAAAGAGAAAGAATCATTATCCTGATGGAGTCACCATATCAAAACAGGGACCATAGGAATAGGGGAAAGAAAAACGTAAAAACACATTCTACTCACCATTGACTCACTAATCAGCAATAACAACAGGGCTTCTTCAGTATTTTCTTGAGGACAAAAAATGCTGTATAAAGAAAATTGACGTTGATATATGGCAATTTCAAAATAACACAAAATACATGACTAAGCAGAACTGAACGGCTAACAGCTTCTAGATTTTTATATAGTGTAGAACCCATGAAAAATACTGTATAATCTGGGCCCCTGGATTAATTTGTTTATTTCTATGGTAATCTATGGAATGGATACATTTTAACTACCCATTTTAATAGCAGGCAGCCAGGTGACGCTGTAGAAACCAAGTTAAAAGCCCAAAGAATGTTTGTGCCTATTACAGAGGTGGGAAGTTTGATCACTACAAACTGACGTTATCTAAAGCTTTCTCCTAAACCCATTACGAGGTATAAACTGAAGACATTTCGCTGCATGGTACTCTTCCTACCTCTTACTTGCTAGCTGGCATATTGTATATTGTCATTTAGATGATACAGGAGATAGGAAGCAATTTTAGAGTTTGAATGTAGAATACTGTAAGAACTTAGTGAGCTATCTTACCCAAACACACGCGCACTATGGGGTGGCACGCAGGAGCTGTCTTATTCATCAACTTTATGGGATTTGGCTACCATCTTGGATTAAAATAAAAAGCTTTTAAGCTCAATGTTGCTCAGGATTAAAGAACAATAAAAACCAAACATAACTCTGGTCTCCATTCCCTATATCCTATTTTTTGTGCTCTGAGCGTTTTAAAAGACCTCCAGGGAATTCTCTGGTGGTCCAGTGGTTAGGACTCTGCACTCTCATCGTCCGGGGGCTGGGGGTTCAATCCCTGGTTAGGGAACTACGATCCCACAAGCTGTGGGGCACAGCCGGAAAAAAAAAACCCTCCAGCATTTTCCCCCATTCTAAAGTTCTAGCATCCTTTGAATAGAATTGTAAGTCTTATCACTGGTTGGGCCAAACTCAACTCTGTTTCTTTTTTTCTCGGTTCTTGCTTTTTTGTTTGTTTGTTTTTCGGCCATGCCAGGCGGGCATGTGAGATCTTAGTTCCCCCACCAGGGATCAAGCCCGCACCCCCTGCGGTGGAAGCGCAGAGTTTTAACCACTGGACTGCCAGGGAAGTCCCATCAACTCTTTTTCGTGGAATGGTAGTAGAGTGCAATAAAAATGAACTTGGTTAAAAAAACTTGGGGATGTTTTGGAGATGACTAAATAAAGACTAAATTTACATCTTCCCAGGGGTAATATTACAATCATTTAACTTAAGAGAAGGGATGATTTCCCCCCCAAAATGGCCAAAAAAAATGTTTTCCAGGGCTTCCCTGGTGGCGCAGTGGTTGAGAGTCCACCTGCCGATGCAGGGGACACGGGTTCGTGCCCTGGTCCAGGAAGATCCCACATGCCGCGGAGCGGCTAGGCCCATAAGCCATGGCCGCTGAGCCAGCATGTCCGGAGCCTGTGCTCCGCAACGAGAGAGGCCACGACAGTGAGAGGCCCACATAACGCAAAAAAAAAAACAAAAAAACAAAAAAACAAAAAAACAAAAAAACAAAAATGTTTTCCAAATGATTGCAAATATTTGTTCTCTTTGAAGTGCTGGCAAATTTTGTATTGTGTCAAAGGGCCATGAGGAGTAAGACAGAAAAGTCCAGTGACTGATACTCTTTTTACAATTCAGTCATCCCTGGAGGTAAGGAAACCACCTGTGGGATGGTTCCTATTGCTCCTGCAGGGCTAAAATTTATAAAAGGGCTGGGCTGTGAGTGAGAAGCAGGATTCTGGAATGTGCAGTGACCTCCTTAAAGAGGTAACTTGAGGTGATTTGGGTTTTTGGAAGATGGAACATTTCTTTCCCCTTAAATTCAGAAATAGAGCCAACAGGCTTTGAATTAAGAACGCTCGTGTGTGTGTGTCTGTGTGTGTGTCTCTGTGTGTGTCTGTGTGTCTCCCCATCCAGCAATCAGTTCCTGATATCCTGGCTCGTGCTTACATGCAGTTGGGACCTTACAAATAAAGCAGAACCATTAATCATTTTTTTCACAGCTACCCAGTTCTGCATTGTCCAGACTAACTGAAAAGAGAGGGAGCCCATTCTAATCATAACTTAACACCAGCAAATTCAGTCCAGAGATAACCCCCAAATTCCACGTGAGCCATCTAGTCTACTTAAATGTGAGGTTGTGTTATTTTTACTAGAGCTGCTAACAAGTAGCACATTAACTGATTCTAATTCTACTTCCTCTACCCTTCTTTTCAAGGCAGGAAAGATGGGTACTCAGGGGTGCTGCAACGTTCTCAGGGCTGGCAGGAAGAAGTGGGGGGCAGGGGAGGGGGAAAGGATAGTTTTAAGAGACATGCCTAAAAAGCTACCCACTGGAATGCCCCCTTCTCCATAATCATGAATTCTCTAGATCTATTTCTGGTCATTCTTTCCCTCTTCCCTGCCCAGGGAAGTGTGGAGCTCAGGGTGGACAGTCAAAATTGTTGGGGCCCTCCTTTTGTGATATTATCCTCTTGGGGCCCAAGAGCCTCAAGGGGAGATCCTGGGGTGCCCAGGCCTCGGCCTTGTGGAGCCAGAAGCCTGGGGCCTTAGACCTGGAGGAAGTTGATTGAAGGGATGGCCATTCACAGCTTCAGTTCTGCCATCAAGTAGTTGTTAGGACCCTTCAATGTCCCCTATCTTTAAACTCTGAACAGCATCCTCGTCCTTACCAAAAGCCTCTGCACTGGCTACCAGGAGGTTCAGACCTGTATTTAGCACGCCATGATCATTACTTTCTCCTCTTAGGCCTACCGAGGAGTTTAGCACAATGTGTGGCACTCCTAGTTTTCAATAAATCATCATCCGCTTCCTGGCATCATAGTGGTTTCTAGCTTCCTCCTTTACTTAATGCTAATTATCTAGTCTAATATGCATTTAATTATCTAAGCCACCTCAAGTGCTTTTTACAAGGAGGAATACAATGGAAGTAAAAACATACTTGAGTGACATGCACACATATGTGGACTAAGAAACATGTATAAGAATATTCATAGCAGCACTATTCCTATTAGCTCCAAATGAGAAACAACGCAAATGTCCATCAAGAGTAGAATGGATCAACATATGGGAGTATATTAATAAAATGGAATGCTAGTCAACAACAAAAACAAACGACTACTACATGCAAAAATATGGATGAATCTCTCCAATATAATGTTAGACAAAAGAAGTTAAACGTAAAAGTACTTAATATGTGATTCCATTCATGTAAATTTCAAAAATGGGCCAGACTAATTACAGTGATAGAAGTCAGGATAGGGTTACCCTTGGGCAGGGAGCAGTAACTGGGGGAGGGTACAGAGAGCCCTTCTAGGGTTCTGGCAATGTCTAGTTCTTGACCAGGATGCTAAATACTTGCATGTGTTCACTTAGTGAAAATTCATCAAGTTTTCTACTTTTGGTTCGTGTATTTTTCGCAATGTATATTATGTGCCAGTAAAAAGCTTACTTAAAAAATAAGTAAACAAAAGTCAATAAAATTCTTCATAGAAAGATCTAGAAGAAAGGAAGTAAGGAGGCCTATGGCATGTGATTCTTCCTCTCTTTTTTTATCTTGGATTATCAGCATTTTATTTCCTTTCAACATTTAAGACGGAGAGAGGATGAGCATCCTGTACCCACTTCACATCCAGGTTGCAGTGACAGGGAGGGGAGTTTTCTGGCAGAGGTTATTTTTCAGTAATTGTCCATCATGACCAATGGTCCTGAATGGTTCGTGTGGTTTGCTGGAGCTGGAAGGATCTATGGCACATCAAGTTTGCTTTGTGCTCATGTTCCTCATAAGAGGGGAGAGAGGAGGGACCACCGGCCAAAATGAGATTTAAACATCATCTATGGATTCCCCCTTTTTACCTCCCAACTCACATAACTGAACTGGTGATAACATCTTTTTGCCACAAAATTGCTTGATTGGAGAGTCCTGTCTTGTTAATAAGGAAGCCCCAAGCAGATTTTTCTCTCTTTACTAATAAATCAGAAGTAAGGGTATGAACATGCAAAACTAGAAAGCTAAAAGCTGATGGTGATAACTGAAGGAAGAAAGATTAGCACAGAGATTAACTAACTAGAGAAATAGAAACACAATAGAGAAAAATCAACAAAACTGAAAGTTAATTCTTCAAAAAGATCAATAAGACTTGACAAACTTTTTAGGTAGACTGACCCAGAAAAGAAAGAGAAGACTCAAATTACTAAAAGGAGAAATGAGAAATGGAAGAGGGTACATGACTACCAATCTTATAGAAATTATATGTGTGTGTGTGTGTGTGTGTGTGTGTGTGTGTGTGTGTGTGTACGTGAATACTATGAACAACTGTACTCAGCAAATTAGGTAACTTAGATGAAATGGACAAATTTCTAGAAAGACACAAACTACCAAAACTGAAGAAATAGAAAATCTTAATAGCTCTGTAACAAGTAAAGGGAGTGGATTAGTAATCAAAAACATTCCCACAAAGAAAAGCCCACGACCAGATGGCTTCACTGGTGAATTCTACCAAACATTTAAAGAAGAATTAATAATAATTCTCCATAAACTCTTTCCAAAAATAGAAGAGGAAGGAATATTTCCCACTCATTCTACGAGGCTAGTATTATCCTCATACCAAAATTAGACAAAGACATCATGAGAAAAGAAAACTATAGATCAATTATTTTATGACTATTGATGCAAAAATCCTCAACAAAATACTAGTAAATCAAACTCAGTAATAAATAAGGATTATATACCTAGTGGGATTCACCTAGGAATGCAAGGTTGGCTTCATATCTGAAAATCAATTAATGTAATACATCACATCAATAGAATAAAGGACAAAAGCCAGATGATCATCTCAGTAGATACAGAAAAAGCATTTGACAAATTCAAAACCTTTTCACAAAAAAATATGCTCAACAAACTAGTAATAGAAGGGACTTTCCTCAACCTGATAACGGGCATCTATGAAAACCCACAGCTAACATCATACTTAATAGTGAAAGACTGGATGTTTTCCCCTTCCTAAGATCAGGAATAAAACAAAGTTGCCCTCTCTTGCCACTTCCATTCAACATTGTACTGGAGGTTCTACCCAGGGCAATTAGGAAAGAAAATGAAATAAAAGCCATCTATGTTAGGAAGAAGTAAAACTATATTTGCAGATGACATGATCTTGTATATAGAAAATCCTAAAGAATCTAAAAAAAACTATTAGAACTAAGAAACAAGCTCAGCAAGACTTCAGTATACAAGATCAATATAGAAAACCAATTTTACTTCTATATACTTGCAATGAACAGCCCCCAAATGAAATTAATAATAACAATTCCATTTGTGATAGTATCAAAAATAGCACACACACCAAAACACCCTTAAGAATAAGTTTAACAAAAGAAGTGCAGGGCTTCCCTGGTGGCGCAGTGGTTGAGAGTCCGCCTGCCGATGCAGGGGACACAGGTTCGTGCCCCGGTCCGGGAAGATCCCACATGCCGCGGAGCCATGGCCGCTGAGCCTGTGCGTCCGGAGCCTGTGCTCCGCAATGGGAGAGGCCACAACAGTGAGAGGCCCGTGTACCACGAAAAAAAAAAAAAAAGTGCAAACCTTATACCCTGAAAACTACAAATTGTTGCTGAAAAAAGTTAAAGAAAACCTAAATAAATGGAAAGATATCCCATGTTCATGGATCAGAAGACTTAATATTGTCAAGATGGCAATACTCCTCCAATTGAGCTACAGATTAAATCCAATTCCTACAAAATTCCAGTTGCCCTTTTTTTTTTTTTTTTTTTTGCAGAAATAGACAAAATGATCCTAAAATTCATGTGAAAATACAAGTGTTTGGGGGATGGCGGGTGACAGCTAAGGGGTGCTAGGTTTATTTTGGGGGTAGTGAAAGTATTCTAAATTTGACTGTAGTGATGGGCTATGTGACTATATTAAAAGCTATACTAATGTGAATTGTACACTTTAAATGAATGAATTATATAGTATGTGAATTATATCTCAGTGAAACAGTTTAAAAAAATGTGTGTATTTGTGTGAAATGAAACTTGTGTCTCAGTAACCTGTCACATGGGAATCTTCCCTTTAACTAATAACTTCATTTAACTAGATCTGCATTTTGCCTCCATGATTCTCCTTGTACAGATGGGGAAACGGATGTTAAAAGAGTGACAGAGGCTGAGTGGTTCAGGAAATAAGGGAGAAGTGGCCAGCACTGTGAGCTTCTCTGCCTTCAAGGGGTGAGGCCACACTGGAATCGCACCCAGAGAGACACAGGGCTTCATCCATGTGTCAAACTTGATTGGGGGAGGGAACAAGAATTAGATTCTTCAATATACCGGCACTTTGGCTACTAAGAAGCATCTGAAGCAGAAGAAAAATCTAGGGTCTATTTTTAAGATTTAAATATCACCTAAAAAAGAACCCCAATCCTGCTGCTAAATAGTTCAGAATGAGGGGTCAGCATTTTAAAAGTGAGAGTTTGAGAATTGCTAGAACAGATGTTCTATGAATCCAGATAAGTACTAAGGAGTAAACGCAGGGAAAAGTTAAGAAAATGCTCAGTAGTCTGAATCCATATAAGAAATGCAAATTGAACAAGATGAGGAGGGAGACAAATGCCAGGGTCAATTTAAGAGGATTAAGAGGCAGTTACCCTGAGAAATGCTGCCCCTTGTAAAATGCGGCATTGCGTTCAGAAGTCACACACATAACAACTATCTAATCACCCCATGTCTGTCAGTGCTTTCTGGGGCCTCAGAAGCAGCAGCCTGCGGTCTTTCAGCCATTTTTCCAATTTGTAATGACTAAAGAAGGTTTCCGTATTTATTCTTACACGTTCCCCTTTGCTTCATGGAGAGGTTCTGAAAAGCCATCATGCCTTGTCCTTGTAGGAACAAAGACGGGAAGGAAAGCTTTGAGGGGAGCAATGAGTCAACCCCTGTTCCCGTTTCCCGCCTTCTTGTGGTCTCTCTCCCTCCCACCTCCTCCTTCCCGGACCTGGGGAAATCCCAGGCTGAGACCGGAGTGTTTCCCTAGCCCATTTTCCTCAAAGGTGATCAAGTTCCCAATCCAAAACTTAAACCAATTAAAACATTCTAAAGAGACATCACCTTCCAATCACATGTAAATTATCAAATTCGCCTTCTTCTTACAGCTAATTCAGTTTAAAACAAGCTTTTAAACGAAAGGATCAAGGAATTGCTGAGGAAAAGTAAAGAAAAGTCAACTCTGGCTTACTAATAGCTTTGTCACTGACTGCTGTATGGTTCTGCGGTTCTTATAATAAACGAAATGAAAATCCCAAAGACCAACAGTGAAGGCTGAGAATGGCAGCCAAGCACTAGATGAGAGCATTTTCCTACTCAAAACGTCCCCACGCATGCATGGATATTTGCTGAAATTATGAAGAGTAAAGAGCTATCTTTATTAAACTGGTAGAAAATCTACCCTTGAACTTCTATTCAATCCTTACATTTTCCTGAAGTTTCCCTCCCATCCCCTAACCTACAGATGAGGACACCAACTCCCATACTTCTCTCCTGAGTAGACACGGGCTTTCCGCGTGAGGGTGTAGGTTTTTGTGTTTGCTCCTTTCCGGAGAGGATCGTCCAGAGGTGACTGGCATGGTGGGTTCTCCAGAGGGTTCCAGTAGCTCTGCTCACACATACCCCGCAACAAGATCTCCGCCAGCTGCCTGGCTATTGTCTGGGGACACAAAGGAGCAAAGGCACAGCCATGAATCTATTTTGTATCATTCATTCATTCATTCGCTCATTTAATAAATACGTGTTAGTCATCACTTTGTCATCACTGTTCCAAGACTCATAATTAAAAATGTCTACTCCTATGATGAAAATTATATCAGTTGATGACAAAAAAAGAAAAGAAAAAATGATACACTAAGATATTTGAAAGATTAAAAAAAAAAATAAGTTTATGCCCTTCAAATGCTGCCCTGCCTCTGTTATACTCTGGAACACTGAACATGTTTTATACCGGAAACAACTGAAACTTTTAGTTAAGCTCTTTTCCAAAAGCTCTTATAAATAATAGGTGAACTGCAAATATTTTCATCACCTCCCAACCGAGGCCTGCCAAAGCCCGACCTTGGCAGAAAGCCAGTACTCAACCTAGATGATGTAATCCCTGAAAAAAATCTCTTCGTTGATGATAAGATGATGTTCGGTGCAGATTTTTAGAATGTCTTCCTTCTTCGGAGTGCCAAGGGCAAGTCCTTCACAGCCCCACCCTGCGACTCAGTACCTGAGGCCCCGTTCTTACTGCATCCTGGCCCTTCAGCCCAAAGGTTCCCACTGGCCTTGAGCAAAGTGGAGAACTGGCGAAGTGACTGTGGCTACTGATCCAGAAGACCGTTTTTTTAAAGCTGGGTAGGGATCTCCTTTCTTACTGTGAAAACCCAGAAATATCCAGATCTTGTTCTTCTAAGTTAGGTGCAGATTACTATGTTTTTCCAAACTCTATAGCTCCACTGCCTAGAACAGCATCACGTACGATGTATGGGGGAGGGAGATGTGGCAGCTACTAAGAAGTACTTTGTTAACTGATGCATATCAGTTAACTTACCTCATAATCTTCCAGTGACAAAGAAGAGAAGTAAAAAAAAAAAAAAATCCCTCCGAAGATAGAAGCACTGCATCTCAGGGTGGTCCAGGCCACCTCACAATCAGCCAGAGGTGGCCAAAGACAACTTCAACCAGCAGATTTTTCCACAAGGTTTTAGCATTCTTTGGAAGATGCAGATAAAGAATGCTGATCTTCCCTGACAATGAGCCTTTTTAAATAAATATTTTCCAGAACAGAACTTTGCTAGGCTTTCATCCATGTGAAATCTCTTAAAACACCACAAGGAATCTTAAATGCAACCAAATCACTAGCTTAGTGGTTTCTGATAGCCACTGGGTAAAGGCAAATTTTCTTCATTATTCCCAAGTAAGACCCACTAGCTTTAAATGTCTATAAAAATGTGAAATTAAATGTACTCCTATCATCCCCAACTGAGCCATCTGTAAAGATCTCATAAGAGCACGATTTTTAGGACCTAAACAGTTCCTGAACTGTTTTCTTAAACCTTCCATTACAGCCTCATTTTGATCTCACTGCAGTCATATAAGCTAATGACTTCTGCTGGAAGCGCCAACTAGCAAAAATAACCTCCACTCACTATAGCTGAGAAAAAAACGTTAAAGGAGAAAAATGAACAAAGAACTTCACTTTCTGGATGTATCTGCCATGGAGGGATTCTAAGGTTGTAAAAGTCTCTGCCCTCAAAACAGTTTGCTTGTCCACTGCTGGATAGCTCACGCTAGATCTCATTTTCCCTCAAGGTATTAACCTTCCGGAGAGATTTTTAAAATGAGGTTATGTGATTGCACATTTTAAAGGCATCACCTCGTCATGCATTACCGATTAGGAAGGATGTTGGCTGTGTTCACTGAAATCTCAAATGAAGTTCAGAAAAGGAGATTAAATATGAGAAATTATCAGCAAGATCACCAATATCTATGACACCTTTCATGTTTTATACTCTGGTTATATTTAGCTTGTGGTTTAAATGTCTAAAAATTGTTGGTAGCTACCAAATACATTTCAAATACATTTAGAATTAAAGGAAGGAAAGGAGAGAAGCTGGTCTGGAAGAAGACTTGAACTTCTTTGTACAAACTGGGTCATTAAATGCACTTTTTTGTATGTGATTTTAAATTGTGATAAAATTCACATAACATAAAATTCACCACGTTAACCATTTTAAAGTGTACAGTCCAATGGCACTTAGCACATTCACCATGTTGTACAACCATGACCACTCTAGTTCCAGAACATTCTTTACCCTAAAAGGAAACCCCATACCCTCTAAGAAGTCACTCTCCATTCTCCCTCCTCCCACCCCCTGGGAACAGCTAATCTGCTTTCTGTCACTATAGGTTTGCCTCTTCTGGACATTTCACATAAATGGAATCATATCATATGTGGTCTTTTTGTGTCTGGCTTCTCTTACTTAGCATAATGTTTTCAGGGTTCATCCATGTGGTAGCATGAATCAGTACTTCGTTCCTTTTTATAGCTGAATGATATTCCATTGTATGGCTAGACCACATTTTGCTTATTCAATCATCAGTTGGTAGACATTTGGATTGTTTCCGTCTTTTGGCTATTGTCAATAATGCTGCTATGAACATTCATATACAAGTTTTGATTTGAACATCTGCTTTCAATTATTTGGAGTACTTATCTAGAAATGGGGCTGCTGTGAATGTACTTTTAAATCCTTCTCTGCTATGGTCTCACACCAGAGTTTACAAAGCAACTTTTTCATCTCATAAGGATATCATAAATTTGTAATTATCAGCTAATCTAAAAAGAATCATACAGCAATTAAGGCTGATAGAAACACTGTCTTATGAGTGGCAATAGCTGGAGAAGTGTCCTGATGTCCACCGGAAACCAAGCACCAGTGTAGACTTCCCAGGAAATGCTTCTCAACTAGAGTGGGCAAAGACTCACTTGTGGAAACTAGAAAATACGGATTTTCAGGCCCTGCCGCAGACGGACTCAGTTGGCATTCCTGAGGTCAGATACAGGGATGTGTATTTGCTCAAAGTTCCTCAGATGGTTCTGATGCACACCTTTCGTTAAGCACTCAAGGGATCAGAAACGGTTTAACTTAGGTCACTTGAGAACCATCCACCAAGACCAAAGGGGTACTTGCAACTCAAGTGTGACATTGAGTGGGGAGTGACTCCCCCGCTTACATTAACACTAACCAGTCAGTAACAGCTGAACGTGCCCAGGGGCGGCTTTAGCTACACAGGCTTTCTCTAGAAGCCTCTTCACGGGGCTTCTCAGAAAAAAGGAAAAAAAAAGAAAAAAGAAGAAGAAAACTGTCTTCCTTCCTAACATCTCTAGTCAGAATCCTACCTCACAGGATTTTTATAAGTTAAAACACATTGGTTTGAAAATCATAAACCTTAGACAATAATGGAAGATATTCTCTAATTTTGATAAATATTGGAGTAAGCAGCAAGCAGATTCTCACAGTGCAGTGCACGCACTCAACCTTCTAACGAGGAAACACCCCTTATCTCCTTAACAAAATATATATTTTTTGAGAGTCTATAAGCAATTTTGAAAGATTGGCATTTTTAAAATTTTTATTTATTTATTTATTTATTTATTTATTTATTTATTTATTTATTTATTTATTTATGGCTCCGTTGGGTCTTCGTTGCTTTGCGCAGGCTTTCTCTAGTTGTAGCGCGCGGGGGCTACTCTTTGTCGCGGTGCGTGGGCTTCCCATTGCGGTGGCTTCTCTTGTTGCAGTGCACAGGCTCTAGGCATGCGGGCTTCAGTAGTTGTGGCTCGCGGGCTCTGGAGTGCGGGCTTGGTAGTTGTGGTGCACGGGCTTAGATGCTCCGCGGCATGTGGGATCTTCCCGGACCAGGGCTTGAACCCGTGCTCCTGCATCGGCAGGCAGATTCTTAACCCGAGTCACCAGGGAAGCCCAAAAGATTGGCATTTTAAATGTGCTTTTAAAACAATTATAAGAACACTTGCCAATATAACCAGTTACTTTCATTGTGCTTCCAAATCTTGGAAGAAGCTATTCATGCTGACCAGTTCAGAAGTTTTATGGAATGTTGGGAGTAGGTCAGTTTGAGAGAAAAGATAGATAGCAATAAATTTTATCCATATTTTTTTTTTTTTTGCGGTACGCGGGCCGCTCACTGTCGCGGCCTCTCCCGTTGTGGAGCACAGGCTCCGGACGCGCAGGCTCAGCGGCCATGGCTCACGGGCCCAGCCGCTCCGTGGCATGTGGGATCTTCCCGGACCGGGGCACGAACCCGTGTCCCCTGCATCGGCAGGCGGACTCTCAACCACTGCGCCACCAGGGAAGCCCTATCCATATTTTTGCAGGGTTTTTTCCCTTAAAGGACTGTGAAGATCAAAATGTTTTGTTTGAACTTCTGAGGGCACCCGTAAATCATATAATACATAGGTAGATATCGAAGACCAAGTGAGTTCTTGGTGCGGGGTGTGTGTGAAGTCGCCCGTCTTGTCTCACCTCCCATAATTCTAGGAAAGCCTACGGCTTAGCCATCTGGGCCAGTGAGTTGTATGTCCACATCCTTAGCATGAAGATACAGCCTCATTTCCCAGGACAGGAATCTCTTAGCCTTGCCCAACTGAACACTGTCCCACAGCATTTAAAGGACTCATGATAATGGGAGGACAACAGCATGGATGACGAGACCAAGGACACTGCGGTCTTAGTGGGGCTGCCACATCGGCTGGGGCCTGGGGCGCTTCTTAGCTTCCACGAGCACCAAGCCTCACCCAAACACTCGATGACTCTGGCTCTGAAGGGGAAACTGTGGAGGTATAATTAATGAGCCTCCCAGACAGGAAGGTGAAAGGCTTAAAAGGAAAGAGGGAGAACTCAAGTCAACAGGAGAGCCAAGCTGCTGATCAACCAGGTTATGTAACTAGCTTTTCTATTTCTGGGTTTTATGGTCCATATAGTGAGCCCAACAGCTAGGTTCTCCTCAGGATCTAATCTGCTTTGCTCGGTCTGGGTTTTGGTATGAATCAGCAGCCTACAACGAACCCTTCACCGCACTGGCATCGGGAGGGTATGCCTTCTAACTGCTATACAGGATGCATTTTTTGTTTCAAGAGAGAGCATTCCCAAGAAGCAACTGAAAAGATGCTCAACATCATTAGCCATCAGGGAGTGTAAATCAAAACCACAACGAGACAGCACTTCACACCCACTAGGATGGCTAGAACTAAAGAAAAAGATAAGAAACACGTGTTGTTGAGGATATGGAAAAACTGGAACCCTCGTCATTTCTGGTGAGAATGTAAAATGGTGCAGCCGATCTGACAAATAGTTTGGCAATTCCTCCAAATGCTAAATGTAGAGTTACCGTGTGACCCAGCAATTCCACTCCTAGGTATCTACTCAAGAAAAATGAACACATATATACACATAAAAACTTGCATGAGAATGTTTGTAGCAGCATTATTCATAAAAGCTGAAAAGTGGAAACAAAAAATGTCTACTGACTGATGACTGAACAAACAAAAATGTGGTCTATCCATACGATGGAATATCATGGTGCGACGAAAAGGAATGAAAGACGGATACATGGTATAACGTGAATGAACCTTGAAAACGTTATGCTAAGTAAAGGAAGCCCGTCACAAAAAAAGACCACATACTGTATAATGCCACTTATATGAAATGTCCAGAATAGGCAAACCATAGAAACAGGAAGTAAATTAGTGGCTGTCGGAAGCTGGGGAAAGGGAAGAATGGGGATTGACTAGGAATAGGCATGGAGATTTTGGGGGAGTGATGAGAATGCTCTGAAATTCAATATTAGCGATGGCTGAACAATTCTGTGACTACTAAAATCTAATGAGTTTGGGTGAACGTATGATGTATATATATATATACATATATATATGTGTGTATATATATATGCTTCACTGAGATACAATTTATAATGTATAATATCTATATTACATAGTATGTTATGATATATAATGGATTATTTATAATACACGTATGAAAGAGAGAGAGGCACTTGAAGTGCCTCGGGCCTCAGCCAAGTCATTAGGTACACTTACCATTCGCAGGTTCTGGGTTGTTCTCGTTTCCACTGCTCTGAGGATCTCTCTAAATCTCCCGACTCCTCTCGTCAAGTTCCTGTGTGCACACAGAATGGGACAGGGTTTCCGTCTGGCGTGTATTAATGTTAGATATTTTATACACATACTTCAATTCATTTTGCCTACATAAAAGCTGTTGGCGAGACTGTAAGCAATCGTTCTGCACATGCCTGTCCATCTTTGTTCAACTCTGAAAAGTTTGACCTAGGATCAGTGGTCTTTTGAACTTCCACAATTCAATTTTCTCGGGAAAATAAATGTCGGAAGATCAGATCCGAGGCAAAAAACAGAAGGCAAGATATCTTTCCAGAGTCTATCTTCTACCTCACAGTGGCTGAGGAGTTTTCCTGCTCTGCTGAGTGGTGCTGAAAACTCTATGTTTTCACCGCAAGGTGGGTGGCAAAGGGGTACAGGAGTATCAACAAGGCACTGTGTGCAACGTGGGAAAGGCTTCTTGTGACCTGCAACCTTTACAGGCAAGACAAAGAGAAAAGGTATGAAAAATGAGGGGCTCCACCAAGCAACCACTCCGTGTCTTCGAGAACACACGTCACTGCCCAGTAAACCCATCGGCCCCTCCTGCCCCCAGCGAGGCAGAGGGTCACAGCCCCTCCCACGGTTAGTGAGCGCTGGCTGGAGGCCGGCGCCACCTGACTGGGGCCAGCATACCTCATTTTGGTGCCCACACACCTCACAGAGATGTGCAGGGTGACACGTTTCGTGAAGGGACAGTAATTCGTTAGTAAATCCCGGTCCACGTGCCCAGACCCCACTTGCTGTCTGCCCCCTCTGAAGGCCGTGCCTGACCCATTCAGCTGGGAGCATTTCCCAGCAGGTCCCTTTACATCGAGCACCGCCACCTCCTACGACAGAACCCCGTGATATTTATAACCTGCTCGTTAGAACACATCTCAGCTTTCCAAAAAAGCCACAGAGCGGGTCAGCCGGTGCGGACCTGTCAGCCAGCCTCTGCAGTCTGTGGCAGATGCTCTAGGTGTTCAGCTCTCTTCTTGGATGACATTTTGAATCACACAAAGGGATTAAATCAAACTGAAGGTGGGTTCTGTATGCTACGAGCACTCACAAGGGCTATCAATTCGTGTCTTATACCTAACGTGACATCCCAGGACGCTGATTCACAAGAACAGCCCCAGAACTTGAAGGTAATGGTTTATTGGCACAGATACGTCAATACTCCCATATTCCTCTCACCCACACATATCAGATGATACCAGATCAGAAGCTTTACGGTGGCATGAAAAGAGAGGCTTGCGCTTGGCAGTCCAGGCAGCACTAAAGGAGACGTGAATAAAAATTAGGTAACAGGCCCTGGGACATGCAGTCTACGCTGCTGCTTTCCCCTTCATCTGCTTTTATGGGATCTGTGCTCACAGGCACCAGAGTACACTTGCTTTGGACTGAAGCTCGGTTCTGTTAAGTAACATGGTGGGGAGAAAACAGCTACAGCTGAAAAAGGGGACGGGCAGGGCAGAGCAGTCTCATTTTATTCCAGAATCGCAGAGTAAGCTCCTACTATGTACGAAAAGAATGGCGTTTTGAACTGTGTGAAATAAGGTGGGACTGGGACAATATAGCTGGAGACCCAGGTTTAAAGGGCTGTTTTGGCAGGGTGGAAATTAAGCCTTCAGTAGGCAGTATCAAATCTATATGTTATAAGTCAGGGAAGGCTATCAGATGGGAATTGGCCATTTGGAATGCCTCCCAGGCCCTCTTTGCAGAGTGAGATACCTATCCAGTTACGCAAGCACAGAATTGTCTAGCTATAAGTGATCTGACACAACCTGGTCCACTGGGACACAGAAGAGAAACGGCTTGCTCAGCCCTCCACACCCAGTGAGAGGGAGACCTGGGACCTTTCGACCCAACCTCTCACCTTCCTGACAAAAGAAATGTGAGCCCTCATGCTGAAGTGCAGCTCTCGAAGAAAGAACAAAATATGCATACGAGAAAGGTCTGTGTTTTACATCATTAATATGAAAATTAATATATATACATAATACAAGTCGGATGCGCTCCAGTGCTCCCAGCTAACGAGATTCTCCTAGGAACTGGTTCAAAACTGGAAAGAAAATCTGCTGGCCCAGGTGAAGCAGCCTGGTGTCCAAGGGTGAGGCCTCAGCTGCCCTAAATGAGAACCGACGGGTAGAGAAATTCAATTCCCCTCTGAGGCCGAGGTGTGGTTTCTCCCGTGCAGGACCGAGGCCCTCTGGTGGCGACTGCAGGAAGTCCCCGTGACCGAGAGGACGCCGCGCAGGAGGCCAAACCGGTAGCAGCTGAGGGCGTATTCCTGACGCATTGACACTGCCTTTGAGGCAAATTCAAGTTTTTCTCAAGCTGCTTCCAGTTTACTTCTGGGAAGAGCTTAGGATTCAGAACCAAGTTCTTCCTGAAGCTGGGAGGAATCCTGCTTGTCAACAGCAGATCTGCAGTAACCGCAGAATGTCTCAGAAGGCCTCCGGCTGTGCTGGTCGAACGGCACCGTCAGGACAACCATGAGGCTGCCTGTCCACCCACGGGGCAGGAGGGAGGGGGACTGGAGGGGAGAGATCACCCAGCTTAAATATCAGAAAAGGAAATAAATATCCTAAGCGCAAAGACATCCAATTCTCAGCAACTCTTATACCATCCATACATGTTTTTAGTCACATAATTTTATTCAAGCAATCACTTCCACTGTTGCCATGACAGCAGAAAAAAAATTTTTAAGCTAGATGGATAATCATGATAGAAAGGAACAAAAAAAGGAATTACTTGCAAGAATTACATTCTAAAGGCTATGAAATACCCCAATTTGAGGGAAATAAACAAAAGCCACATGATTGTTTTCATGTCTCTAAACTCTTAGTTTATTCTTAAAATGTGGAGACCCATGAACTACCTGGAATGAACCGCTGCTTAAAAACTCCACTCCAAAATGAACAGAAGAGAGACAAGGAGTTGCCCCGGTTTTGAGCGTTTCCACAGACCCTCGACATTAGGTCATTTGTTCCATTTCAACACCTTTGACTTAGAGAGTGCAATGATGTCAAAATCCATTATGGTAAACTATTCTTAAAAGGAAGGTTCTGGCCAGCATTCAAGCAGCAGGCACTGGCAAGCTGTCAGAACTTGGGGTTCACCTCCTGCACCTCGCTTCCTGAGCTGGGTGCGCTTCCCTCCACGTGGAACGGTTCCCAACTGCTAAGCTCTTACCACGGAGAAAGGGCCTACAAGTCCCTCGAGCACCAGCTGGTTGTTCAGCCCGACAGGCAGGCGAAACCTGCCAACATCACCGACAGTCCCCAGCCCATCAGGGAGAGCCCAGGCCAGCGTCCTCAGCCTTGCTCTCGTGCAAACCCAGGCAAAGGAAAGCCCACCCACGGTTCACGGGCACACATTCTAATCCCCCCCTTGACATACTTCCTTTTTTTCTTCTCTCCTCCCTTTTCCATCAGGTTTCATCCTCCTCCCCCTGAGCCACCTCCTTCCAGGTCTCGTGTGCTGGTCCTCAGGTCACTGCAGAAGCATGACTTCCTGAGGACACCCGGGGAGGGCACTGACTGGCCAGCACTCGGCCTCCCTCTTGACCCTTTGGGCCTTGAAAGCAGCACTTCTGAAGGCTGGTCTCTGAAATGTACATTCTGATGTACAAACCTACAATCAAACCAAGGGGGAAACGTACATGGGAAGGAAGCCAGAGTTCCCAAATCCAAATCCAAATGGAAAACCGAGGCTGGGAGAAACTCGGAGACTGGAGAACTATTTCACCTGGTGATGGGCAGCTATTTCAACTGCAAGCTCAATATATTTTATTTTTATATTTTTTATGTTCACTTCTTGGGAGCAGGGTGGAAAAATACAATTCTTCCCTTAACCTGTCCTTCCATATTCTCTTCTAACCTCAGAGTTTGGCCCAGGCCACCAATGCACTCAAATTCAACCTCAACTGTCATTGTCATCGCAAACTCAACGTTCTGATGTGAATAAAATACTGGATGTCAAATTCCTGGGTAACAAGGGAAAGGTACCACTGCCAGCGTAGGTTCAGTATTTTTTCTCCTTCTCTGTGGTGGAGAACTTTATAACTAAAGATCAATTTTAGAACAAGTCAACACAGTAGATGTCTTAGAGCTAAGAAATCGTTTGGCTTTTTCCATGTTCTTTCATACCAACTGGCGCTTCTGAATCTCTTAAGCAGTAGGTTATTTCAATAATTACTGAGCACTGTTACATATCGGGTTCCAGTCTCATCCCTGAGGATACACTGGTGAACACAGGACAGCACCAGGAAGCTTGGATGGCTTCACATCCCCCATTAGAACATAAGCGCCTTGAGGACCAAGATCTTTGTTTTGCTCACTGCCATATCCCAAGCCCCTCAAACAGAGCTGGCATCCAGAAAGTGCTCAATAAATGTGTTGAATGAATGAAATTCAGAACTACCATGAGCTGAGTGAACCATGACCCCGAGGGGATGCATTTTCTACCTGTTTCTTACCCCCTTCGTTCTCACCGCACACGGACTGGCAGGCAGCACAGCAAGCTCCCTTTAAACAGAACACGTCTCATACATCCTCAGTCGTGTTTGTAGCATGGGTGCCTGGGAGAGCAGGGACACGCCTGTAGCAAGCAACGTACCCAGGCATGCCCAGCCTGCCAGCTTCTAGAGGGTTGTGTGGATAATGAGGATTTCGAGACTTTTGAAAAAACCTTTCAGACAGTTCAGGGAAACCTTGCTGCCCAGGTGCCTTTCCACATGCTCCTCTCTCTCTTTAAAGAGTCCTAAGTCATCCTTCAAGACCCAGGTCAAAGGCCAGCTTTGAGAACCTTTTGTGAGCTTCCCCAGGAAGACACGACACTGCCTCCTGGTGTTGCCAACAAGTTTGTACATTTTTTTTTTTTTTTTTTTTTAATTTTTGGCTGCGTTGGGTCTTCGTTGCTGCACGTGGGCTTTCTCTAGTTGGGGCAGGAGGGGGCTACTCTTCGTTGCGGTGCGGTGGCTTCTCTTGTTGCGGAGCATGGGCTCTAGGTGCACGG